TGAAATGGCCCACCCCCCCCCCCCCCCCTTCATTGTTTTAAAACTCCTTTCAAGGGGTTTTGTTTATTTCCTTGGGTTTCATGTTCTGGGGCCTTTTTTGGTAGTTTTATAGAGTGAAAGGCCATCCACAAAAAAAAATTGTGACTCCCATGAAGCAGAGGGGAAAGGAGGAATAGATGCATTAATTCAAGCAGTGGGGCCTGGAAATGCTATGTCCTTGACAGACATAACAATGCAACAGGTGTTGGGGGAAGTGCTCTAGAATGAATGCAACCTTTGCTAAGACTTCAGAAAAGGTGCACCTAGGGCTTACTCTGTAAGTGTAAGTATGGTGCTGTTTTTTCACCTTCCATTTCCACAGCTCCAGCACCTCTGAACATGCTGTAGTTGGCTACCATCACCCTGCAGCTAAATGCTGAATGTGTGCTGTGTGGATATGCCACCTGGTAGAAGAGGGCTTTCCCTGCATCTTCTTTAATACAGCTGTGCAAAGGGCATGTCTACACATTCATTAATGGGCTGTAGTTACTGCGCATTAAGTTTAGTACTTTGTTAACCAACTACTAAGTCAATGCACGGTAACTCATGCTACTGCACAGTGGCACCAGTGCACAGATTTTTAGAGACACTTACTGTGCAGAAGCCTAATACTACTGTGCAGTAGCGTATTAGCACAGTTTTTGCCTGGCACGTGCTGTGCGGTGTTATTAGGCTATTGCACAGTTAGTGTCTCATGTAGACGTGTCCAGACAGACATAATTTAACCTTGCATCATTGAATCTTGAATCGTATAAAAGTGGATTCCCTCCAGGATCCTATTACACAGATATTTAGGTAAGTCCTTATGCGCTCCATACTCATTGATTTGAACGGATTAGTGCCAGCTAAGGGTCTGTCACTTTATTTTCTGAGCCATTTATTAATCAGTGTTACATATGAATTTGCTAATACGTGAAGAAATTAATTACAACTGGTGCTTCTCACTAAATCTACATAAATGTCACATTAGCCCATGTGTTTCCTATATTTGTAACATTAATGATCAGTAATTAGCTACTTTTCCAGTTGCCATAGTTATTCCTGCTGTCCAGCCAGCATTTCACTAAATTAATGAATCAAGAATACCATCTGATCTCTGTATGCAACATGCACCATCAGAGATACCACTCTTAAAATCATGGGGCCCAGAGGATTTGCAGGCCATCCCCTCAGAATTTAAGCCTTGCTGTTGGTCTGGAGGTCAGACTTCCATTGGAGAACAAAAGGTTATTTACCACAAATGGAAGCGTGTCAATTTAAATGGATATCAAAGGGAAGTTAAAATATGAAAACTTGTGGTTTTAAACTGAATAAACCAGCTGAATAGAGGCATGAATACCAAATTCAGGAAGTAATATGTATTCAAAACGTTAAAGAAATGTTGTTTCCGCTATATTTATTTGTGACGTTGTAATTCTAAACTTGTTTCATCCTCACTTAATAAAAATGCATATACGTGATTTAGACTTTGCTATTTATTACACTGTTCTCAGTTTACCTGACTTTTTTACAGTGATGCCTGACAATCCTAATTTTCCATATCGACGCTATGATCGACTCCCTCCCATCCATCAGTTCTCCATAGAAAGTGACACAGATCTCTCTGAAACTGCTGAGTTAATTGAGGAGTATGAGGTATTTGATCCTACAAGACCTCGACCAAAAATCATCCTTGTCATAGGTATGAAGGCAAAATGAGTGTCAATTTTTTACTAGCTCTTATTATTATTCCCTTTGCCCTGATATTGATAATGTAAATATATTAGATTCCTACAGTATTTTAATATAATAGACATTATTAAGATTTGAAGGGGGAAACGTGATTCAGTGGCAGTCTCAGTCTCGGGTGTGATGGCCAGATAAGAAAATAGAGTTGTCTGCAGAAAAGGAGTTTTCTTTAAAATTAAATTAACTATATCCCACAGCAAGAAAATATTGATCTGATGTGACTTGCACTTAAAACTCCTCGATCAGTTGATTGGTCAGCACATCCAACTTGAGTGAAAGTGTATCTTGTTAGCCAACTACTTTGATAAATTCCAACATCACACTTATATGCAAGTCACTAAAACACCTCCAATGTAAGTTCAGATAAATAGTTGACCTTCTGGGCAAGAAGTATTTGCATTTCAGTTTTCTGGGTTAGGTTATTTGTCACCTGTGTATATTTGCATGTACTAAGAATGCCTGATTTCTGCATGTCACATCAGGACTTGATAAGTGACATTGTTCTATACCTCTAATAATTGATATTGTGTGGAAAATGTGTGTAGGATGCCACCAAGTCAGAGGTCTCTACTCACAAATATTTTGTTAGGTTTTTACACCTGCCACTTCACCTTATCATAGGTATAAATGACTATACAAGGTGCAAGATACTAAAAAATCAGATATTCAATCTGTAAGGACTTATTTTATATTAAGGAACAGAAGATAGAGCCTTACTAAGAGAAAACAGTGCATATTTTTCTCTGTGATATGCTGCAAGAATTCTGAAAATTGTCTATTATAGTCTGTAGTCCAGGTAAATTCATAGAGATGTACACATGAAAGAAAAGGCAACACATTTTCATAGTTATTGCTTCACACAGCTCATGGGCCTGGTAAACAATAGGATTTTTTCATCCTGTCTGCATTTCTTTCTAAAACAAACACAAGGTAAAATCCTGGGCCGTTTGAGCAATTTAATTTTAATTAGATGGAGGAGTAACTCTTGCCTTTCATTCATTATGTTTTAATTAGGAGTTAGCCTGTATTTCCAAAGGGGATAAAACTAGCTCCCTTCTTGTGGCCTTAAAAGACATTTGTGCATTAAAATCAACATACTTCCATGGCATTAAGACAATGGATAAAGATTAGATGTAACCAAAATGCACAGAGTGGCATTGGGTTAGTTGTACTCAGTGGGTACATCTACAGATTCAGTTACTGTAGCATGGCAAACTCTGGTGTAGTTTGTGCCGGGGTTAATGGCTCCCTGGCACAGCATCTACATGTGTGCCTGGAACTGCAACAGTTTGGGCCAGAGTGGAGCAGTCCCAGGCTGGCAGCAGGCTCCGGGGTCAGCCCTGGCCTCTAGGTTGCAGTCAGAGGGGCTGGCTGGCACCCAAGAGTGCCCAAAGAGCAGAGCTATGTGGCTAGGTAGCAAGCAGGGGTGTGGCCCCCTGCTGCCTGTGGTGACTCGGCGCAATTTATGCCTGCATCAGCATTTACACGTGCATTTAGATGCCGTTTATTTTTGCCATCATAAGATAGCACTGTCCTTGACAGTACTTGACAGTACTATCTTACAGCAGTGGAAGTTAATTTGCTGTGATCTAATAGTGTTGCATGTATAGAGTGTGATGCTTTACACTGCAGCACATTAGTCTACTGCACAGTTAAGCGCACATGTAGATACACCCAGTGTGAGCCAGTGGTGAGCAGAGCTTGGGGGTTGTGACTATCATCCTGTTTCCAACCTATGCAGGGAATTATGCAAGCATCCAACAAAAGCTGTTTCAGCCATTTGACTGAATTACCCTACCCCTAAATTGAACTGTGCAGCTATCTGTCCCATAATATGAACTGAAGATGCTTCAGCACATGAGGAGTTTAACAACTGTTTTTAAATTTTGTACATTACTTAAAGTATACTGAGAAAGTTAATTCTAAAATTAAACTTAGCATGAATGGCAGAGTAAAAATAATAATAAATATGTTGAATAAGAAAAAAAAAGAATGGAATACAAAATGTCTTTGTTCATTAATAATCAGCTCTAGAAACAGCAATATTTCTAGAGTACAGAAATACTGGACAAAAAATATGTATTGCATAACTTTCAGCTTGCATAAAACACTCTTTCAAGCCTCAGTCCAGTAAGAAACTTGAATGCATGCCTAACCTTAAATACATTATTAGTCGCATTGACAGCTGGAACTAAATGGATAAGAGAGGCATCTTCATACACATATTTGGTGAACGGTTAATTCATAATCCTTTATCCTGGGGTTTCTTTATTGATTCCACCAAGTCTTTTATATTGTCTCATCTTTGTAGTTAGCTAGCTGGGTTTAATGTGAAAGATAATCATAAAAGTGGGTTCCTTCTTTCTTTTCTATTTTTACAAAAAGACCTTCTTTACCAGGTAAAGATACAAACAATTCACTGTACTATTGGATTTTAGAAAAATCATATGGAACCAGCCAGAAACCAAGCATCTGACTCAGTGGAACTTTCCTCTCCAAGACTCTATTATACTAGAAAATAAACTGTGGTTTAAAATGTGTCTACTACCATTTTTCAACTAACACATTTTTATTCACTGGTGTAGACTGGATTCAGCATCTTTAAAAACATCTTTACTAACTGTGATCAGCACTATGGTGCTAACATGTTTTTAAACAATACTTAATTAAAGCATTTTAGTTAATACTTTCTAACAGCATTTCTCAAGTTGTGGGGTATGCACCCTTGGTGGGAAGGGTGAAAGGTTCCTGGAGTGGGTGCAACTCTCCATATGTGTGCGAATCACAAATGCTGCAGATACACAAAAGCATCAAACAAACTTTGACAACTGAAGTGGATGACTTTACCAACTTTACTGCATCAGGGTATAAACCCCAAAAGTTTGGAAAATGCTGTATTATAAAAAGAACATCTGTGCCAAATCCCCATGATTGGGAATGTGCTGTTTGCGGCGCCACAAAATCTCAAGAGGTTTTGAGGTGCCACAAAATTCATGTGGTACATGTTAATCTGCTTGCCACACTGCATATTTGCAGTGCAGGGGCAAAATTAGACACTGGGAAATCCCAGTATCTAATAAAAACCCACACACAAAAAAGTGGCACAGTGTATGTGGCAGCAGCGTGCACCACCTAAATTAGAGCCTGGCTGGCCAGAGCCACATTCTGGCTGCTGGCCAGGCTCCATGCACCTGGATTGCTGCCACTGCAGGCCCAGAAGGCCCCCAGGACCCCGAGTAAGACTGCTGGGGCCAGCCTAGGTGCTGGTCCCAGCCTCCCCTACTCCACCCAAGGCAATTTGCCATGCGCCACTGGTGTGCCGAAAGACAAGCAGCAGCACCACAAATACGTGCTGCTGCTATTTGTACCAGGAGAATCACATGTGCATGCTCATGGGAATGCACCCTTATTGTCCTGCTCTAGTCAAGGTCCGAAGGATGGGGCTGAATGTAATTTGACTGCAACAAGCTAACATCTTTTTAAAAAGGAGTTAATCTAGCTCTGGTGGAAATCTGATTCATATCTGCTTTGATCTTGCATGTTAAACAATATCAACTAAATTTAACCTGAGACATGTGTAAAGATGGCTGAAAATAACATGTGTAAAGATGGCTGAAAATAACAGCTAAACCAGTGCACTTTTCTGTGTAGTCCAGTCACAGTTGAAACCAGTAATCTAATATATTTTTAAAACAATATATTTTCCTCATCTAGATATGCTCTAAGAGATACCTTAAATAAGCATACATTTCTCTTTAGTAACATATAATCTTCAGACAAAAATAATTTTAAAAAGTAGCCTCTCTCCTTATGAACACCTTTGTCAATAGGGCTGTGCAATTCACCGTTTCATTTTGATTTCCATTTCACTGTGTCGATGGGCCAGTGTTTCATTTCAAGTTCTGTTTCATTTCAAAGTGCTGTTCTGTTCCGTTTCATCGAAACCGTTTCGCTGTTTCAACACTGTTTTGACATTTTGCCCATCAACTATAATGGGGAAGCATGAAACTGCCTATAACTTTATCATTTCTTGCCGGATTCAGATGAATCATGCAGGGATAGTAGCCCCTTCTGAGGCCATGAAGCCTGCCAAGTTTCAAGGGGATAGGTGCAGGGGTTTCTGGGAAACTGCACCTCAAGCTGCTTACAAGCAAAACTTGTGATGTGTGACTGTGTAGGTGTTAAGGTGCGGCTGTTTTTCTCTCCCTCCCCCAGAGCACTGGGATTGGAAGGGACCTCAGGGAATGATCACAGTCACTGGCCAGCCACACATGTCAATATGAGAGCAGTCTTCCCCCCTCTCCCCCCTCCCTCACCTTAGTTTCTGTTTCCCTGCAAGCAAGCCCAGCTTTGAAACTCAAAATGTTTTGAGCGCCCTTTGCATTTTGAGGCTGCTTCAAAGCCTTTCATTTCATTTTGATTTTGCTGTTTTGAGCTCGAAACGAGTCAAAACAGCATTGAAACAAAACACCCGGTGAAATTTCGCACAGCCTTACTTGTCAACTGAAGTAATAAATCAAGGAACTTGGAGCATCAGAGCTTCAAAGGTACATGGAGAAAGTAAAATAAATAATTGTTTCCCATTGGAAATAATTTTGTCCTATCCCTTTTCCCCTATTTTATTCTGTAAATTTCTCCATTTTATCATAAATGAAAGCTTAGTACTGGGGGGAAGCATTTTCTGATTGACAAAAACTCGCTTAATATAGGTGATACTTGTGAACATATGATCACTAATAATTTGTGATTTTTCTTTCTGCTGAAAGCACAGAAATACTGTATATTGTTCATTTCTGTTTTGCTGTGTTTAATTGCAAAGGAAAGCTTTCCCTGAAGAGCAGTGTGAAAACTGCTTCAATGCAGAGGACTGTACTGACTTTTTCAGCAATTCTGTAATTTTACATGCAAAGATTATATTTTTCCAAGCACTAGCTCTCTCTTTTTCTGTTATCTTTTGCAGTTTTGACGGAATATGACAAACTGCTTCATTTATCTCTTTCTGTACCAGATATAATTATTAATACTTATTTTGTCTAGTCATTATTGGTCTATTGCAGTAATTTCAAGATATTTTTCATTCCCCAAGTTAAAGGATATTGAATTGAATTGACTGTTCCTTCCTGGCTGTTCTGTATCTTTAAGCATCTTGAAGTGCTTTAATGCTAAGTTATAAAACCTTTCTTTTAAAGAACTTCCACCACTATCCCCCTTTTTATTCCCAACTCACCCACTCCAGGGACTGGTACCAGTAAAAACAATGACAAGTCATAATAAGACCCACAAAATCACTTGTTAATTATCCATTGATATAAACAGAACAATGTTCTGCCAGCCTTCTTCAGACTTAGTTCCCTCCATCAAGTTCCCTACTGTTTTCTATGACAACATCAACTGGCAATAGCTTTCTAAGACTTAGCCACACTAGCATACAAGAAGAAGGATCTTTTACAGAAATCTTTGTTAATTTAATAAATCCTCAATAAATATGGGACTAATTTGGAAAATATAAGGCAGCAATATGTTATTCCTAGGAACTAATTTATTTTATCCATCATATTAGATACAAATAGTTGCTTTAACTGTATTGTGTTCCTGAAGAAGGGTGAAACCAGTTTTGAGTAACTTTTAATTTTTCAGTGGATCTAAAGTTTATGTTTTTTGACAGAAAGTCGTTGCAAGTACCAAGATATAGTTATTTAACATTATCATTTTTAGGAACTGCACAAATTCCTCAGATGTATTTAGAAACAAATTTTCATAGGCATATTTCTTGGGTAATTCCACTGACTTCAATGGGGTCCATTTAAAGACAAAATATTGCCTTACTCTCCAAAGATATCAGAATATCTGACTCTTCATTGGTTTCATATAGTGATAGCTTCTCATACCATAAGTGATCTGCTGTTTTTCTTTCCTATGCTAGTATAACTCAGGACTAAGTCCACTTTAGTACTAGCAGAAGAGAGGTAAATAAATGGAGAGTCTGACCCAAAAAGAGAAAACATCTTTTTTTTTTCCTCAGATAGACAATTTTGAAAAAAACTTTGCTCTGAGTCCTGGAATAGATCCACTTATTTTGACTTTGTAGAAACTTCTAATCACAGGACAGCTACAGATCTCGATTGGATAGTAGCTTGGAACACTGATACTGGTGGCAATGGTTTCAAAGTGAATTTAGCATACCAAATGAAAGTTAATTTTTCTGCTTATATTTAACAATAGGTGGCCCAGGAAGTGGGAAAGGAACACAAAGTCTGAAAATAGCAGAACGTTATGGATTTGAATACATATCGGTTGGTGAATTATTAAGGAAGAAGATCCATAACACAAGCAGCAATAGAAAATGGAGCCTGATTGCTAAAATAATTACCACTGGAGAACTGGCCCCGCAGGTACAGCAGTATTAAGAGTATTTTGATTTGATAGTTATTGTGTAAAGCTTCTTTTTTGTTTGTTTGTTTTTAACCAAAGATGATTTGTCAACTATTTCTCTCCATAAAAGGAAACAACTATAACTGAGATAAAGCAGAGATTAATGCAGATCCCTGATGAAGAAGGTATTGTTATTGATGGATTTCCAAGAGATGTTGCCCAGGCAATCTCATTTGAGGACCAGGTAAGAGAGAGTTTTTATTCTTAAACTAATTTATGTATATCAAATGAGTGTTAAGCCTCTTGAAATTAACACGCAGATTCCCCAAGTGACCAAATGTCATTCTTAACTGAGCTCTTAACTCTTTAAATCTTTGCAAAGGCATAATTACAGGTTGACAAAAGGCCATAGAGCATCAAGACCGAGTATTCTGTAAAATGACAGTGTGATAGTATAACCAAGAATTCTAACCTCCTGCTTCTGTAATAGAAATCTTCCCAAGATCAAGGAGGAAAAACAAATTTAGTCTAACAACTAATATTTTTCATACATTAATAATTTAGGAAGGGGAAAGAGTTGTCCTTTAATATTTAATTGTACAATTTAAATGTTCATTAAAAAGAACACTTTATTGTGAGGTGCTGAAAAGACTGGAACAAAAGCTAGCATTACAACTGAATGTATTTTTGTGAGCCCACTTAGATAAAAAAAAAAATGGCCATCCTTTTTTTTTTTTTTTTTT